AAGGGACAGCTCCCCCCCAATCCCTTGATGCTGGCAGCAAATTTGCAGTCGAGTCTTTTCCCCCCATAAATTTTGATGAGACAAAAAGGAAAAAAAAAAAAAAGGTTGATGCAGTCTACTTCTAATTCAGTATTTGCAGCCAAAGTTTTGGTGTGCTGCAGCTGGCACGAAACACCCAGTGATGACTGTAGACTGGTTCCTGCTGTTTGTTATTATCTGTTGGTGCCACTGCAGTAGAGCTGTACTTGGTATTTGACAGTGGAGAGGGACTGGCCAGTACCACAAGGAACTTACAGTCAGAGTCAGGCACACTCAGTACAGCACAGGCATAAAAGATACAGTGCAAATGACCTTTAGATCAGTAGAGAAGGTACCACCTCTTCCTCTTCTTTTTCCCCTTCTTTTCTTCATCTATGGCTGAATATCACTGAATGGTTTCCCAGAAGTGCCTCTTAAACAGGGAATTTAACTTCACTCCTGATATCAGGACGCTGTCACCATTTCATAGCTTTAAGCACATAGGAATAGACTCATGTTCTAAATTGCATTTTTTCTCACAGATTTGCTCTCATTTTTATTTGTGACAAACAAACTTGCTGTGGCCGTCTATATCTTTCATAAATCCTGGTGGAAAATGAGCCTGCTTGGACTACCGGGGAGAAGCCGCAAGATATCTAGAGATCTTTTGATTTGTTTGTTTCTTCTTCCTCCCTTTGTTGCCTGAGCCAATTTTATTCCTGCATGGCTGCAGGGAGCCCTGCATGCCCGCCGTTTGTGGAATTTTACACTTGCGTGTTAGCAGGCTGGACGTGCACCAAGTGGCTCTCACACAATGACAGCAGACAATGTGCTTTGAATTTTCCCTCTCCACAAAGGCCAGTGACCTTTTTCTACTTGCTTGCCTGTTTCCCTGCTGTCCTGTAGCTCACAGATAAGTCACTGTCTGGTTTCTACAGTCCCTTCTGCTTATGTAAGAAATTTCTTTTGCTTTTGATGCAAATTAAGGCCCCTGAATTCTGTCACCCTATAAAAATTGGAGAAGTTGGCAATGCTCTGCCCTCTTCCTCAATGCTGTTAAAGGCTTTATCCAACCCTAAGTTCATGGTTCCCTACTGAAATACAAAGCTTTCAGCAGCCAGGAGTGGCTGGGTGTCAGAAGCCTTTTGGTCAATGCATATGCTTTAACCAGTAAATGTTACTGCCGGGATCATCCAGGGAACACTAATGGTTTCAACTGATCTCTATGGGGTTTCATTTTAAAACAGCTAAGCCAGTTGCTTTGCACAAGTATTTGAAATGAGATGTCTGCAGACACCTCATTTCCATCAGCGGAGAGGCAAAGCTGGGTGATGGCCTTTCTAGTGTATCCAGGGACAGCAAAATGTTGTGCTGTAGCTGTGGGAGGGCTTCTTGGCCACACTGGTCAGGGATGGGCAGCATCAGAAAGAACAGCATTGCCAAATACTTCTCACACCTAGCCTGGTGTAAGCCAGGCTCCTTGACAGAGCTGCAGCAGCAGAGCGAGAGTCTGAGCACAGCTCTAGCCTGCATCGCCACAGGTCAGAGGTCCCACCATACATCCTTGCTGTCCCTATGATGTGACACCGATATAATTAAAGATCTGCTGCTTCCCACTGAGGGCAGAGCTCACCTTTCACCTCAGAATGTAGGCAAAAAGTTCATTCAGACAGGAAAAAGCAGAGCTCAGGTGTGCTCAAACTTATTTTCTTTGTGCAAGTCCAGCTTCCTCCATTTCATTTATTACAATAATGTTTGCCTTCCCACTATACCAAACAAAATAGTTCTCTGGGATCCTCTTTGTTCCTTCCTGTGTTGGTTTCACAGTGGGCTCTCTCAGGATGTGTTCTGGAGAGTTAGTTATTTACAAAACAATGACAAATGTCAGGTAACCTCAGTACACCACACTGTCATCTTAAGGCTCCTGTCCTCTGTTGCTAACACATGCCTCTTGCATGGGCAATAGCATCTGAGGTTTTCACAGCACAGGTGTGAGTGAGGCACCGATTGTGTTACAATTAAAACCTGTTGGAAGAAGGAGCAGGAAGGTTGGCAGGATATATGGTAGAGGAGAGGAGTGTGTCTTTCTCTTTTTCCTTAGTAAGTGATCTGATCTATGGGAGGCATCATTTCATGGGCAGACTATAGTAGAAAATGGCACCGGGCATGGAAAACACCTCCATCCTATGGCTACAACACCTTCTACTCCAGCAAAACCTACGCTTCTCCATGTATTCAGAGACTCAATTGACTTGTGAAGAGCCACAGTTCTTTTCTGTGCTGTTTTGCTGGGAGGAAAACAACTTCTGCTGTGGGAGGACACACAAATGCAGTGTGATGCCTGTGCCTCCCAGCTATTGACATGTACAGTAAATGCAGGTAGCACTGGCTCTGCTGTGGGGAGCAGTCAAGGACAAAAGCAGAGGCAAGCAAGACTGGGTATTGCAACCAAAGCTTGGACAGCTGCATGAGGCAGTGCAGAACATGGCACTAGTATAGTTATCACAGACGCCATGACACCTTTGCCTCCTAGTAATTTTGCTGTCATTAGGTGCTACTCATAATGGGAAATCATGATTTTACTGTGGTTCTGGGTATGTTGTCCATAATTAGCGTGCAGTCCTTTAATGCTAATTACTTTAAGTATTAATTCCTTAAACATCAATTAAAAAATCACGTGGAAAATGTACCTCTTCCTCAAACCAATCATGAATTAACATTGGGGTACTTACAATGTACTACTTAATGTGCTTAATTAGTTAATCTCTGTAAAGGGGTTTCAAATGTGTGAAGAGCTATCAAACTGCTAAGTGCATTATCTTCAATTAATTTTGTGCAACTACATCTTCACTATCAAGAGGGTCTTTAGAATGCCAAGGAAAGGAAAAGTAGACATTGCTTCCAATTTTAAAGTAACTAATAAAAAAATCAATTGAAAGATTATTTGACATGGTGGGAATAATTGTGAACATACCATTTCTTCTGTTTCAGCCAGACTTCAATATGAAAGATTCATAATTCATATCCCTCATCTGCTTTTTCTGGTCTCTGGTTTCTTTGCTTCCATCTTCCCCTGGTCTTAATCCTCTCTCACTTAATATTAACCCTCTGTCTTCCAAACTTGATATTGCATTAGTAAAAACATACAAACAAACGAAATTAAAAAAGAGAATCACAACAAAACAGTTTTCAAACTGTGGAGTCTCTGCCACTGAGTTTACACCCTCACACCAACGCAATAACGAGGCAGCTTGTTCCAAAAGAAGCCTCATGGACTTCACTTCAAAAGGAGATGCTAAAGGTCCATAGCAGAGCTCCTGCCAGAGAACAGGACCAAGTCCAGCCCAGGAAGTCATATAGCATCTCTCCATTCCACCAATGGGGATAAGCTCTTAACATGTCTTTCAAAGTATTCTGTTCTATTTAGAGCTTATATGCTTTGTTAATTATTCTCATTTTACTTCACCCATGAATAATTTGCTTTTAGTAGAATCCTCTCAAAAATCTGACAATGGATTTTTTTCTGCTAATATGCTGTCGAGCTGGCAGCTTTATTTAGGCCAGCTACATTGAATCAGACTTTACCAAGAACCTATTTCCTGGATTATTTTTCTCCTACTGGGCCTAATGAAAGGTAAGAACATTTTTCTTGCTGGGTCTGATATTTTTTAGAGTTTTTCACTTGCCTTTTCTTTCTTTCCCGCAAATGATAAATAATCACTTCCTTGATGACTGCCAGGGTCCCACAAGTTGTGAAAAATTCAGGCAGCTTGTTTAATATCAACTTGCCTGAGCAGTGGTTATGCAGGAGTGTCTCCTTCACAGGGTTTGGATCATTTAAAATGTGTATTTGCAGTATATTTGTATCACATCTGGCATTCACTCAGCAATGTTTTGAAAACCTATTCATTTCCCTTATTTCATTCAAAAGAAACTGGAACAGAGAACAGACTGCTTGATGGCCACAAATTTATTCTCTGCACACTGTAAAGTAACAGCATAACCTGTTGGACAAGGCATTTCACTAGCAAGCCAGAGTTGTGTACAGTGATCCTGAACACCCCACGTTCTCAGGGAAAGAACTTCTGCCACCAAATCTCTCCAACCCTTCCCTAGTTCAGTTTTGTAAAAGGAACCAGTGAAGGATATTCAATCCAGTGGACACTAATTTAGCTGAAGGGCCTGACCTGCTCTAACCAGGATGTCTAATACAAGCATAGGTACCTCAGAGAGCAGCTTGAAAACGGGGCAAATTGATGTTATGGGGTGCAGGAAGTAGAGCAGGATATCAGAAGAAGAAAAGAAAGCAGCTTCTCGCTCTCCCATACCTTCCCCACTGGTTTGTACAAAAGCTTACAGGATCCTTTCTCTTCATCTAGTATATCAATACAGTCCACACCCACAGAAAGTACTACAGGGGTAAGCCAGAAACTGTTCAGAAAAGTCAAGGTTGCCTTGCACCTCAACCTAAGGCCCCCCTGATTTTCCTTCCGTTCCTAAAGGATTAATGTGATTACCAACGATCGTTTCATTCACTTGGGCATTCCTCCTGCCTCTGAAAGAAAGGCAAAGTAGAGCCTTAAGAGACTATCAATCAGATTCGAAAGGAAGAGGTAGGGATGCCTGAATACTGAAGCCTGACTTGTCTGAGGTGCATTTCTACAGAACAAACCTAACTGCAGGAAGTTGACAATACTTAGCTAAAGAAGTGACAGGACAGGGAGGATACAACAAGGTCTCAATGAACAGTCCAGGGTTTTTGCTCCCTCCCCTTCACGGATGTGAAAAATAGAGGAAAAAAAATCATATCCTCTTTTAAGAGTTCCCTTTCATACCAATATTTCCAAGGATCAATTGCCAATAAATTAAGACAAACCCAAACCCACCATTTGTCCTGAGAGCAAGGGAGGATGCACTCCCTCTCTGTCCATGTCATGTCAGAAAAGCAGCTCCAATATGGCCCTCTGGGGCATTCTGTGCCCTCACAGGGGCACTGGTGTGACATAGTTGGCAGGAAAGAGACCCAGTTCCCCACGCAGACGTCCTTTCCACCATGATGGGTTGGAGCTGTCCAGGACCTCTAAGATGTCTCCAGTGCGGAAGCCCAGCTCGTCATGCTCCACAGCATCAAAGTCATACAAGGCACGGACCCATAGTGTTCTCTGGAAAGGAGATAGAAACAGACAGGAAATAATGAACCAGAACTCTCAAAGATCATCCTCCTGTCACCCATCTTGTGCCCAGTACATATGTTCACTAAGAGAGGACAAACCATTCTGAAATTAAGGCAATTAAACCATGAAGTGGCCAAGATGCCAGAAAGGAGGAGTCAATTTACTGGTACACCCAAGGGATGGTGCTTGGCTCCTCAGCAGCCTCGCTGTATTCCTGGGTATTTGCACCATAAGGTGAAAAGTCAGACTGAGAGCTAGTTCTTAGAACATAGTGTTCACATGGCTCCTCCACCCTGTAAGATCAGCCGTAGTAGCCATGTTTGAAGCCAGGTATGGGAGCACAGAGAGCTGCTCCTGCCTGAGTCCTGCTGGGCTCTACACTATCAGTGAATGGGTCTACACAGTGAGTTGGTGCTGGTACAGATATGGAAACATGTCCTCAGCCAGCAGAGGACTATGAGGGATAGATACATCAAGAGAACCAGCACACAGGCGAGTCTAGTGAACATTGTAAAAGAGTGATACTGCTCTTTCAGGTACTTCTGGGGCACAGGGGAGGGTCTTAAACCTTCTTTCGACTCTCCCCAAGGTCAGTCCCTTGAGATCAAAAGGATTTAGGAACTGTTTGGGTGTATTAGTTTGTTTCAGGTGTGCACTTTAATGAACACTATGATCAGATTTTTTTCTTCCAAGAACTTTATTGTAAGAGACTTTGCAGTCTATCTCCCGTTTTGACTGGAAATCAGGTTTTAAAGGTCATAGTGGCTTTTCTGGGAAATTGTTGGTACCCACATCATGGGGCATGGGCAATTTGGGAGGTATATTCTGTGGGCACAAGATGAAGAGATCTGTTAGAAGACAGACAAACTTTTGCTAAATCTTCCATTCAGGGCCCTGCTTAGACATGGCTCCTAGTTATTTGGCTGGACATAAAGACCTTCCTACAGTTGGATTTGTGGCTTCTAGATCACTGAAGGGGTATGGCAGGCAAAAGCACGTTGTTATTCATTGCCACAGCCTCTGAGGGATAAAAACCATTATATTTTGAGCTGGATTATAATGAAGATTTGGGGCTTTTGCCAAAATAAAACATGTCCCTGATTCTCAGTTTGTTCCAAATTTCCTGGTACAATCTGTCCTCTTTCACTCACACTTGAGAAAGGTCTGCTGTCCTTCCCTTCTCTCCTTGGATCTAGATTCTCTGGTTGTTCTGGGCTGTACATTTCCTCAAGGAAGAGGAACGTGCCTTAGGTCACACTCTTAGGAGCTGATGGAGAAATCCTTGTAGTTGGCAGTGAAATCATGGGCTGTGGCAGAGAAAGACACCATGCTTTCTGAATTTGCAGAGCAGGTGCTTACTTATGGACAACTGCCAGGTGTGGATCCAGGTAGGGGAATAGTCTGAGATGTCTGCAGACATGTCTGGATAAGCCTACGTCCACTGTGCTAAAACACTCTGACATAAGGGTGCTAGGTAGTAAGTCCCACTTTGAGGGCATAGTAAGTCCAAAAGACTGTGCCGGGTGGTGACTAGTAGAACTGAGTGATGACAGATCTTCTCAGGACTGGAGCAAAAGTAGTGCAAGAGACAGTGTAAGTACAAGTGCATTGCAAGACAGAAGGAGCACTGTAGCGTGGCACAGTACCGTGAAGCAGCTCTCCATAGGACTTAAAATAAGACTGGCCTTGAGAGCAGTTCGAGAACTGTGCTCATGTAACGGCATAGTCCTACCCTCAGAGTGCCCCAGAAGCAGATTCAAGTGGCTGGAATAGAGTCTTGAGACTCAGAAACATCTTCTAAGATACGTCCCAACAGGCTTAATACGCTAATCCTTATGCAACCTCTGTGCAGGTGACATTGTCCAAAAGAGTTGGCCATTGCTAAGGGACCCACTGAATTGGTCAGATGGGGCCTTCCAGGTACATCACCTACTGGTGTCTGCTGGTAGGTGTCTGTGTGTCTCCATTGCATAGCTGCGGCACTTCCTTGGCTGTGGTCCCTTAGTCCACGCAGCCCATCTTTCCTGTCCAGACTCCCGCCATATCTATCCTAGAAAGAAAACAGCAAGAGAAAAGTAATATAAATACTGGGACATACAAATGAGGGGCTTCCAGAGTCATTGGTGGCCAGGGAGTCAGGGTCCAACCCTCAAGTAAATCATCTTAGATATGTGCTTCCCTGTGCTGCAGTCCTGCAAGCGATGCCCCTAACTAAAGAGGTCACCTGAGGCTGTTCTATTTTGGGTTTTTTTTTAGAAGTTGAAAGTTAAGTGTCCTCAGCTGTGTTCCTCAGCGGCTGGGAAAAGGGGTCAGAAAGGGGCTTTTTTGGCCTCTGGAACTTTCAGGGAAAACCTAAGCCTGTTGTAACTCACAGGTGAAAAAACACACTTGCCAAGGGGATTTTTGCCAATCTGGAGTAATTATGCCCCAGTCCTGCCCACTCCTTGCTCTTCCTCTGTCCCGTATACTGATAGAATGGCAGCAATGCTGATGCAGTTAACTCTATATCTGATGACTCATTACTTTAGTTTTCTTGGGCTGCTCCATGCTGTAAAGTTCAGGGAGCAAGCCTGAGAATCCAGTAGCCCAATTAACCAAAAAAGAAAGAGACGAAATCAGGTTCAAAGAAAAGAACCCATACGATCACACATCTTAAGTCATATCAACACAGATGAGCCCAGAAAGATTGAGAGAGGAAGCAGACAACATCTAGGGAGTAAGTTCTCTTGTGTGTGCACAACTGAGAGGTGCTGAGTGTCTTCATCCCTCCATACCCTTAGTGAATGCACAAAGCTTTTTTATATGATAACGGTGTGACAGAATCTGTTAGGATGTTAGTTCAGGTTGCAGCAGTGCTTCAGTGACACAGGGCCTCATCAGCTGTGTCAACAGAGGGAGGGAAGAACAACAGCTTGTGCTTGCTGTTGCTTGTAAACAGCTTTTGTCCTCTTCATCTTGCTGCTTCCTTTCTTGGACCTACTCTTCCAAAACCTCCCTTGGTCTCAATTGTGCCTTTGTCAGCCTAAAAATTGCTGAGGCTGCCTGAGACTGGAACACGATTTGCACCTCACCTGTCCCTGGCAGAAAGTGAGTGAACTCCATCTGGCTTTGCAGCTGTAAGACTTACTACATGGACACTTCACTCCTATAGTGTTTCTGCTTCATTGTCAAATGTGACTCATGCATAGCACGTGCTCCAAAGAGTGCAGGCGCTCAGCTTTGTCAGAAGCTGTATTATTCCATCAGCAGTCACCTGACAGGCAGCACAGCTTGTCTGATGAGAGAACAGCCGTTTCACAATTGTCCCTGACCTTGCTATGTGGGAGCTCTCATGCTTTACAGGAGATGGTTTTGGATTTCTTCCCTTCAGTAGGACAAGTCCTCTCCTTGGATGACGCTAAATGTCTCTAGCCAGAGACACAAGCCAAACCCTTTGAAAACTATTTCCCTTAAAATTAATCAGGAAGAACTTTGAAGAGAGCACCAGCTACTCCAGTTGTCCTCACCATTCCTATGCAAGCATATGGAACAAAGAAACCTCATACATGAGGGATGCAACATGATGAAAGTGTGCAGAAAGGGCACAGGATAGGGAGGAGGAATGTTTTGAAGAAACCAAACTCTCCTAGGGTTGCCATAGTTATTCTTCATCCCTGTGATGTTTTTTGTGGTGCTATATGTCAGTAGCAAAACTCAGAAAAAAAGAACCAGGCAGCAAGGTTTCATTTAGCTGACAAACTAGAGACAAGTTCCTGAAACTATGTATGTGTGTGCTTGCAAGATTTGGGAGTGGTTTTCTGCACTCTCACTGTATGATACTTTGTGTCCTTTCCTAAGCAAAGCAAAAACATGACATCAGTCTTTGTTTTCCAGTTTTTGGGATGGAGCCCCAAACTCCCTTGGAGTACTCCCAGGGTCACAGTGAAAGGGCCACTGTATACTGACTTCTATTTTTCACTGATTTGGCAATCAGTCACAAATTACAGGACTAAATGAAAGTCCGTATATTTATTACACACCAAAGGAGCTCCCCAGCCAACACCGTCTTCACTGCTACTCCCATATGAAGACCTAACTGACTCTGCTTCCTAAAGCAGGTTCAGGTTGTCAGATTTCTGACAAACTGGCTATTCACTTGCTACCAAGCAATTAAGGTCAATGTTTCATGTGCCGGGGCGTGATGTTCCAGCCCCCCATTCCTGGTAGTACCTGTTCCTGCTGCAGTATAGGGATAGGATGCTCTACGTATCTCTTGGATATAGAAGAATGATCTTCTCCAGCTGTTCCACCCAGGTGGAATCCTTCCCGGCTCATCCGTTCCGAGCTACCACCATGCCTCTCCTGATGGAATAAAGTCAGAAGTGAGGTCAGGTTTTGCTCCCAATCACATCCTTGACTGAATCATTGTACACTGATCACGACCACTACCCTCTACCTTGGAGGTTCTTCCAAGTGAAAGAACCCGCTCCTCTGAGCAGAAGGACAATTCAGGAATTCTGTATTTTTGATCTTTGTCATAGCCATTCTTCATCTGAAGACAAGGTAGTAATGGGAGGTCCTGGGCTGAAAATGTGGCCACTGATGTGAGGACCGTCACAGAAGCCAAGCTCTTTTTGAAAATACTGCCCTTAGACTTCATTTGTCTCTGCACTGAAATCTGTATGTTGCTATCATTTTGTCATATGGCTGTAGCATTTAGAAATTTGAATTGTGAACAGAAACCCCACTGTGACAAGTGCTAAACATACCCTGCTGAGCCCATCACCATAACAAATGTACAGAGTGTTTGCCAAAGCAAACTTGACTCCTGTTCTTTCATTTGCCTGTCTGCATTTCAGAGCAAATGCTGTTCTCTTTCCCTTCCTGCTCACAGTCAGCCCAAACAGGTTGTTTTACTGATATACATGCATACACTCTTCCTTTCTCCTTCCCCAGACAATCCTTCACTGTGATGTCTCTCTCATAGGTTCCATAGCCCTTATTTTTTACCTTACTAATTCTTTTTTAAAGCTCTGCATAAATGGACTAGAAGGAAACAACAACACAAGCCCCTTCTTCAGACTGAAAAATGAAACATCACTCTTTTGGAGTCAGCAAGAATGACCCATATGTAGCCTATAAAACTTTACTGCTGCAGCCAGTGAGTCACGTACTTTCTGCCTTGCTTCTACCTGCACATGCCAGAATCTGTTTCTCAGTAAAGCAGGACTTTGCTTACTGCAGTGACCAGACATGTTCACTCCCAGTACAGTGTGTGCAATGCATAGCAGTCTCTACTATGTCATTTGCTTGTTCCCCTGGCACAAAACCAGGCATTCATCGGACTGGGATTTCCCTGCTTTCTCAAACAAATACTACATCTCCCCTGAACAAGCACAGCTTGTTCCCATATCTGCTATGTTCTTCTCAGCAGTACTTTTCAGTTCCTACCAGTCACTGCTCCAGGTTCTGCCCTCAGTTCCTCCACAGTCATTACTGTGTTCACCCGGTAACAGAAGATGGACGATTCTTCTGAGTAGATAAACTTTCAACTGAAAATGAGCTGTATTCTGGGTGCATTAAAGGACAGTAGGAAACCACACTCAAATTCTTCTCAGACACAACCTACCAGTCAGCTGTGTAGTTACCCTTACGAAATCTAGGCATTTCAATGAGGTAAGTCCTGTTTCCCTTGGATGTGTATGGTGTCTTAGAATTTCAGCTCTGGGGCCTTAGCACAGCTTTAGCAAAGCATCTCTGTGCAGATTTGCAGCACTGCCTGTTGCTATCCAAAACAGAATTAGAAAATTCTGCTCAATTATGTCACTGTACCTACTACTGAATCAACTAAAAATCTATGTTTTAGGGCCCACCAGTATAGGGACGTGACTGGGTTTCTAAGCACAGACTCTCTCCCCTGACACTGAGACAGTGTCATGGGCTGAGTTCCTTCCACAGAAAGGTTTCTTACTGAGACACTACTAAGGATAGTTTGTGTTTACCTTCTCTTCTCGGTTGTTGTCCCTCAGGAAGATCTGCTTCTGCCTGGAGATGGAAGTTGTCCTGTAGTAGTCTACCAGTTTGTTTAGCGAGTGGAATTTCTCTGTCCACAAGTAATAGTTACCCTTTGAATCCCTCATCACTTTGAAGTGTTGCACATCATCTTCATGCCTGGATCCAATTTGGAAAGTGAAAGTTCATCAACCAGATTGCACTTACATTGTTTTTGAAGAAGTCTTTTTCAGAAGGGTACCAAAACTTCTTGCTTGGGCAAATCTAGACTTCTGGAAAGTAAAGCAATGGCAGTCCTTGTGTGTATTGGACCTAGCTGTGGCTCTGTATTTCAAAAGACTCGCCAAGTTACAAACATGGAGTGCTGCAGAGCTGCCCAGTCACAAAGCACTATCAGAACAAAGTACAAGTTTTTAAAGCCTCTCTTTTGAAGTAAAGGCCAGAGGAGCTTTCAGGGACGTGAATAGCTAATAGCTTTATTTCATACTCTGTATGGGAGACAAAAGTGCAGTTGTAGTCTACCCGCTAGCCTCTGCAGGTTCCTGTTAACATCCTGTTAACAGTCTGCACTGACTTCACACCATGGGCATCACCACTACATGCAGACGCAGTCACATGAAGCTATACACTGAGTTTTATAATCATATAATATCTAGTGTAATATCATTACTACTGGTCATTCTTCCTACCCCAAAAAACCCCAAAACAAAACAAACAAAAAAACCCACAAAACCAACCAAACCCCAAACAAAAGACACACACACACACAAAAAAAAAAAAAAAAAAAAAAAAGAAAGAATTATTACCTGCACATTCTGGTAACTTAATACCAGGAACTCAAAACATGCATCTCAGAGGCTACATCTGCACAAATAAAGTGAATGGGTTCCAGGCAGGGTCTGAGTGCTATCCTGGAGTGCTACAGTCACAAAAGCTGTTGAAGTGCTAGCATGGGTTTGGTCTAAACCAAAAGCCCCCCCCTAGATAGTGCTGGGCCATGGTTATGGGGACAGAGTGGACCAGGAACTGTTTACAGTGAGTTGCTTGAATACAGCTGTTCTGTTTTGTGGGGTGAAGAGGGTTTAGCCATATGCATCAGAGCTCTGCCATGCTGCTTGACCTCAGGGTCAGAGAAAGACCCTGACTGTACTTTGTTTCTTGGTGCTTACTGGCTTAGATGTAACCAGAATGTTTTCCTGCATTCCTCACAAATACTTTTTGAGCTCCCTGAATCAGAAAGTGCACACTGCTTGGAAAAAAACATTGCTAATCACTATTTAAAACTGGTTATCGATTGTTAGACTGGAAATTAGTCAAGATTATTTAAGAGCTTGGCTTTGAAGCAAATGCTTTGAGAAGGGCCAGGCTACAACAAGTTGCTGAAATGCAGCTGGGCTGCAAGCAACTAAAAGACATTCCTGTCCAGTGGCTGTTTAGTGACCTGTGAGAAATAAGTTAACAATTTAATAGTAATCTCTTAATGGTACTAGTGGAATTCTTGGGTTCAGTAACCAGAGCTGTCAGGGAATTAAGACAAATGGAAGGCACATGTTTTGCACTGTGGGATACGTCCTATGTAGCACTCTGCTTTGCTGCAGCTCTTTCAGAGAAGTAGGTCACCAGGGGATGCAGCTTTGGAATGGGGCATTCACTGTGTCACTTGAAAAGAGGCAGAAACATTTGGGAATCAGATGCCTAATTTGTTCTCATTCACAACACAGCAGCACTGCCGGTGACTGGCAGCATGCAGACTTCTCAAGAGGCTACGCCACATTAGGAATCCTGTCAAGAGGAGACTAGGGACACCATGAAACTGGAAAAGAAGCAGGAAAATGCTGTGAGCAGCAGATACCTGACAGAGATGGAGAAGTCGCCATGAGAATTCTGACTGGCTCGGACGATGAAGGAGCCAACTCCTTTGCTCATGAGGATGTTCTCTGCTTCGTGGCGGGATATCCTCTCATCAAACCAGCTGTCAAGTGGGAAAAATCATGCAGACGTGAATAAGGAATGTGAATTAAGGCAAGGAACAAAAGAAGCTGAGGATAAGGAGAATGTGAATAAGAAGGGTGGAGAAAAGACGAAACAAAAGGATGAGAGGAGCCCATATGACTACTGCCCTGTACATGCTAAGGTACAGGTTTTTGGTGGGTGCAGACCATTTTCTTTGAGCAGTAAAAACACGTAGATGCAAAGAGAACAATGTAAGCTCTGGCCTGCTAAAAAGCAACACTCAGCTGAAACTGTAATTACAGGCACAGTACAGTAAGGTGTTAGTCAAAGACATTTTAAATTACAAATGTGTACATATATATACACACATAATTCTCAGACATACATCAAATTGCTTTAGGTAAACTGATTAAAATTACTGGACTGTGATGGATATATTGCAAGGGACACACATAATTTTTTAGCAGAAGCAAGCCATGAAAATTTTAGCACTAATAAATTGGTTCCTGTAAGAGTTATAATACCAAAAAATCCCAGAAACATAGAATACATAAGCATACTTATGTAAATTTTGACAAATAATGGTGTAAGGCACTGGAGTAATAAGAAGAAAGTCACCATAAATAGTAAAATAATACAGCATTAATAGGATTTTTTCAGTAGAAAAGAAATCATCATGTACACTTATATATGTCTATTCCACAGCTAATAAGATTTACAATCTGAAGTCTTCTGCTCTTATGTAATGCTTCGTTGCCTGTATTGCATTCAAATTAAGGACTGATAGTTCCATAAGCTGTGTCATTTCCACTTTTGAGTGTCATTATTCTTCTCTTTACTACCACCACAGTTTACTTACATGTCATAGAATCATAGAACGGGTTGAGTTGGATTTTAAGATTAAGGTTGAACTTTAAGATTAACTAGTTCCAACCCCCTGCCATGGGCAGGGACACCTCACACTAGACCATGTCGCCCAAGGCTCTGTCCAACCTGGCCTTGAACACTGCCAGGGATGGGGCATTTACCACTTCTTTGGGCAACCTGTGCCCGTGCCTCACCACCCTCACAGTAAAAAACTTCTTCATTATATCAAACCTGAAGTTCCCTTGTATAAGTTTGAACTCATTACCCCTTGTCATATCGCTTGATGAAGAGTCCCTCTCCAGCATCCATCATTAGCAAAGGGTAATCAGATTTTAATCAGCATTGATAACTGGTCTCAATAATAACTTGACAAGAGAAAGATGAGAAAAAATGGCCCATCAGAAACAGGAGAGTGCTTTCTTCCCTATATCTGGTTCTATCTAACATCTGGCCTGAACTGCTTCAAAGTGCAGACCTGCTATTTTTACAGAAGTGTCAAAGTGGAAGTATTTCTTCACAGCTCTTGCACAGAAAAAGCATCATGAGAAAAATGTGTGTGATAAAAAGAAGCTGCTAGTGTCCTTGCATGATGCTGCAGCCCTGTGAAAGAGCGAACAAGAACAAGTGACTTGGGCGATCTCATCCCCCTTAGGCTCTAAAGTACAAGCCCGTATTTGCACAGCAGACTAATAATACCCTTCAGTTCAGCCAAGCAGGCTGGTTTATGTCCAAAAAGGACAGTAAGTGCCGCCTCCAAAGGGGACACTTACTTGTACCCTCAAAAACCTTGTAACTCCCAGTTCAGCTGCTCAGGGCACCAGTGTGTTACTGCTCTCAGTACTGCGCTTGGTGCATGCTCTGCTTTTTTGCTCCTGAAATGCTGCAGCACTTTTTCAAAGGAGGACAATAAGAGTGGCTTCAGGGAGCATTTCTGCCAACTGAAAGGAAAAGGTTGTAAAAACGCCATGCATTATCATATTTCTGGCACAGGGCCGGACAGCAGATGTAACATGCGTGTAAACAGCTATCAGACCTTTCTGAAAGCACAGTGCCATCTACTCAGTGGAAGAAAGACGTGAAGGTATGCCTATCCTCTGCACTGCGTCTGGGTGTGCAGTCACGACGCGTGGTGAAGGGTGCTTGTGTGTCTGTGTGTGTCTGCACGTGTGTGGGAGCAGGGCGGCATGTCTGGTCTATCATCTCTGTCAATCCATGAGTAACACCAGCTGTCACATTTCGTGTAGCATTGCACTGACCTCTAGTGTATCGAGAGAAACTCACACACGCTTTCCGGGGGGTGGGAATGCGGATGGCAGGGTGCGGAAAAGGGAGTTAATGTCCTTAGGAGTCGTGGGGGGAGGGAGTGAATTACATTTTATAATTCATTTCAGAGAGGTCTCTTGCTCTTCCTTTTGTGTTCAGTCTGTCTCTGTTGTTGCCAAGACTTCACACAGTGACTGTTCTCCTGTTCGAGGAGATCTAAATGCAGGTCCTGCCACATCCCAGTGACATCCCTCTGAGCAACAGTAACAAAGGAGTCACTTGGGAGTGATGGAGAGCACCAAGAACCATTCAGCTCTGAAAGAACAGAGGATGCTTCAGGCTAGAAATGAGGTGTGCTGGCAGAACTGCATATAGCATTATGGCAATCCTTGCCAGCATTAAATCGCAGTATGTTATAACCAGGGCTTCCTCTGTCATGTCTTCCTCTGTGCATGCATGCACGCATGCTCTTGACTGCACGCTGTGGAAATGTGAAATGGTGGTGCACTCGTCTGTGGCACTTACGGGGGAACGTGAAAATCAATGAAGTTCTTAGGAACATAGCCCTCTTGACTTCTGAGCTCAGCCTTGTACCAGTCTTCCTGGGAGCTCAAAACCTGCAATGGAGAGATGGATGGAATAAACGTCTCTCCTGAGAAAGGCAAAAGTAATCAAGAGTCTGGCAGAAACCTAGGATTTCTTCTAAGAATAGAAGAGAACTCCACATACCCTCTACTTCCCACCCACCGTGCAGCCAGGTTAGTAGCTGATGACCTCTTCAGAGTGAACAAAGCAATAGAGAAGGCCAAGTAGAATTAGACAGATTGCTTGTTAACTTTATCCCTTCATGTGAATGCCTGTCCAGGTAGCTGGGGATGCCATCTGCATGTTTCTCTGAAATGGAGAAATTCAGCTCTGAAGGATTTAATAGGGGTTTAAGGAGTTCTCTCTGCTGGTTTTAATTGTTGATACTGGAGCATCTCAGTTTCACAAGGGAGGAAAAAAAGTTTTGTGAAAACTCCTCTGACATGTATGGGTATAGAGTGATATAAAGCTGTATCTGTGTGTGTGTGTGTGTGTTATGACTGCACAGATGTTACTGTGTGCTCTCACATGCCATTTTACCAGAGATTATTCAGTGGGTTAAGTCTTCAGCTGCCCTGAGCTTTGCCAAGGTAGATAAAAGAAGGAGGAAAGGTATTTTAAAGCCATTATTACACTTAAGAGACTGTAGGATTGCATGAAGCCAGCCCTCAGCACACACTGGAGCAGCTTCAAGTGTGCTTATATTAATGTTGACTCTAATGGTCCTTAGGGACTGCACTGCTGACCAGGGACTGTCCAGATTCACTGTTCCCGGACTGATGGCCCTGATATACCCTCAAGCCAGAGGAGAGAGGACAGGAATACAACCACACTGTGATTCTACATTGTGATTTGCAAATGTTTTGCATTTTGATGTTTTGTTTGACATTCCAACTCCTGGGACAGAATTCTGCTTTATGAAATAGAACATGTTTCTGTTCTCTCTGGTTTTGGAGAGGAGCCTGAAAAAGCATGAGCTATGCCAGTTTCAAAAGGAGAAAGCTAGTGGAAAAGACTTAATTTAAAATCTATTGTGAACAATAATAGTACTTGTTTTGTAAGCTAATCTTGAATTTTTGGGAGCCTAACCACTGCTTAGTGTTGGAAACAGGATGTTACTGTCTCTGGGGATGATTCTCCATAGTCCTGCTTGCCATGTAGGTCTTTTTTATGTGTTTGGACACTGAAAGGTTGCGGAATAGAAAGCTGTGGAGTTTCCTGCCTTTATAGTCACTGCTTTCCCCATCTCTAGGTGCCAGATTAAGGCTCTTTTTTGCTGCCATGGCCAACCAAAAATGATAGCTACACCCTGATCGCACTCAGGCTCTGCTCTGTTGGCAGCAAGGTTTCCAGAAAGACCCACCTGCTGGTTCTTGGTACAGGACTGGCAGGTTTCTCTCTGTGTGTCATCCTCTCAGAGAAGGATGTGGGGGGCCTAAGAGGATGGATTTCCTCCTGTCACTGCTGGTTGAGGGCCTCATGTTTCCTGTTTTCTAATCTCTACATCAATACTGTTCATCTTATCTCCTTTATAAATCAGAAAAGACAGCTGGCAGGTTGTGCAGGCAGCAGGAGGGGGCTCGTGACAGGGTATGAATGTATGTGTGCATATGCTAGAAGAGAGATGTTAGGCTAATTTACTGCTACTATGGCTTGGGTGGCAATGGTGTTATCTTGTTCCCCTCAAGGATGTTAAAGCAAGACAGTCTGACTTTTCTGCTAGTGAAGTCTCTGTGACAGCTAATAAGAATACCAATTTGTCGTGTTGATTGGCACTTCTCATCAGTAGCTTCCAACGTACTTTGAAAGGAAGCTCTAGCCTACAATGATTTTACAATAAGGGAAACTGAGGAACAGAAAGGTGATCTGGCCAATACTATCACCCCAGCCAGGGACTTGATGGAAGTCTCCTGAGGAAAAAGATATTAGGTAAAGATCACAGGACAATAGAGACATGGGGACTACTTTTGGTCTAAAGAGGAATTAGGAATGAGTGTTCAGCTAGACTGAAGAGTCAAAGATTTCTCCAGAACCTTCTCATAACCCTTCAGGAAAAGCTGAACTCTGAATGAGTTCTGGGTCCCATCAGCTTTGCCTAAGCTTCAAATATTAAAAGGACAATAAAATAAAAAATGGTGGTGATGGAAGAGACAAGGTTGAGACTCAGTATTTGGTTATTAGCTGGAATAGCTGAGACCATACAGGGAGGGTCCTGTATGCTCCCTGGCCAAACAAGGGTTTAGATCCTATTGCTGTACATCATCCCTTCAGACAGTGGAGGTGTTAGGGCCTTAGAGAAGAGTTACAGAATAGAATCATAGAATGGTTAGAGTTGGTGGTTATATTCAATAGTATTCAATGGTTATACTCAGGCATTTTCAACCTAAACAGGACAGCTATACTGGGACTAAGAAGTGGATTAAATAATGAGGGTGGAGGAGTGTGTGGCTTCATCTGTGGGACTTCGTTAGGGTTAACAAGAGCTGTTCTACCATAACACATGCAAATCAACTTTAAAGATTGCTCTGTATTGTATATGATCAACCCTAGATCAGCCATTCCCCCACTGCTAAATTCCTGGAAGGGTGTGTATAATATTATTAGCGCAGAACCTCTTAAACTTTTCCATTAAGTGTGTAATAGACTGTCTCATGAACATCCATTTGCAATTGCCTAAAACCCCTGTGACAACTAACAGTAATTACTTACAGTGAAAAGTTAGATATAAGTTCTATAATGCATGATAACTATCTTTTAAACAGTTTAAGACCTGGAGGTAAGGAAGACAGCAATGCCTCTGGTCCACACTCATCCTGCCTGCCTTTAGACATAGTAAATGCGGTCGTCCTAGACTGCCTATATATAGTCAATGAAAACAGACAGGACCCTCAAAATCTGTCTACTGAAGAACTGGATTTCTGCCACAGCAAAAGTACTTAGCCTTCTCTGCTGAGTGCTGGAGGACTGCAGGGCAGCTAAATCCATAGTTTATGGACTTAAAATCAAGTGAAGTAGACACAGACTCAAGTGACCTGGGAATTGTTGTTTGACCTATAGCAAGCCCCATGGGAGACAAGTATCCTGCATTTTTATCCCAGTTTATAGATGTCTTCACCTGTTCTGTCAAGGAAAATGGAAGCATAGAAAGATCTGTCAGTACTCTCAGAAATGCCTGGGGCTCCACTTACCTTCAGCATATCTCCAGCCTGGAAGCTCAACTCATCCTCTCCAGAAGCACTGAAATCAAACTTGGCGATGGCTTCCATACTATGTCTTGGTGGCAGACCAAAGCTGGAAGAAGTATATGCTCGTCAACATCAGCTGGGACTGCTGAGTCTAGCCTCTAGAGAGCTTGTAGGCAATGCTGTGATTTGTACATGGATGAGCATGCATCAATCTTTGGTAGACATTAGTTACTAGACATGGAAAGACATTAGCAGCTAAAAGAGATGGCATGGCTAAGAGGCTATAATTAGCTCAAATCAATAGCTGAAACAACTTACTGTGCATACTTATTCCAACAGTTCTCTTTGTAGCAATCTCATGGAGAAGTTTGCATACATCACCCAAATAAGCTGGTAGCAGGGAAAAACTTTCTGTATAGACCAACCACTACTCTGTCACAGTTCCAAGTAATGCGAATGACTGTAATGCAACAGAAGAATGCATTTCTCTCTACAGTGACTTACTCTTTGTCTCAAGAGTAAGACGAATAGTGGAAAAACGAAAAAAAAAAAACCCAACCAAACCAACAACTTAAAAAAAAAAAAAAACCAACCAAACCAACAACATTTTTTCTTCAACAAGGGGCACAATACTGAAGGTTGAGAGAGTCTTTTGTCTGATGGCTTAGCATGGATAACTTTCAGCTTGGGAAAACTGTTTGCAGAAAGTCTGTATTCCCTTATTTTGGAGCAGGCAGAGAGTGAAACTGTAGTACTGACAAATTTAAGGCATGCATTTACCCTACCTCAGTGTTGGAACCCGGGAGCCTGAAATGTACCAGCCAGCCTGCAAACCAAAGCCTGCTTTTCATCAGCGAGCAGATGTGGCAGGGGAAGTAGCAACGTAAACTTTGCTTCTTCACCACTTCCTGCTTATGTAACTCAGACGTACCCAAGCAGGACCACTTCTATAATCAAGAGAGTTACTGATTTCCTGCGGCTGGAACACAGATCCTGCAACCCAGTGGTGAGGCTGCCAGTGGCAAGACAAGAAATAGTGAAGTAGTGCAACACTAGGCAAGTGCACTGCTGGTAGATGCTCTTGCAGCCTGACTTGTGAAGATCATCAGACAGCTCCAATGTAAGAGTAATTTTTATGGTTACTAAACTAGGTTCATCTGGGAAAAATTATCCTGAAGCCAAAGATTCCATTACCTAACCTCACCCCTCACAAAGACATCCAGACTTTACAGCTTGAGAAGTGTCAACTTGCCTCATCCAAAACATTCTTAACCGGAAAGCCCTAGAAAGAAACTGTATGAACAAGTCTAGTTAGGGAGCTATTTCTTGTCTTCTGTTAGAACTGAGACAAGATCCCCAAAATATAAAGTGCTCATACTGAGCAAGCTCCAAAATCACACCACTTTAATATCAACAGGTGACTGTAATACTCATTCTCTGTGATACCTGCTATAAATTTCCTCATTTGACACAGAACCCAAGGATTTATTTACATGTGTACCAAGGATCCACAGTCAAGCTCTGATACAGTGCAACTTGGCTCAAACTGCTGGGAATGAGCAGGGAGAAAGTCTTTGGGACAAAACTTATAGACAGAGCTAGGGCTGTTGAGACAGCACGAGCAGTAGCCCAGGGATTCAAGTGGAGAACACCAACATGGAAAGAGATACAAAAAACAAAACCACAGGAGGTTTGGTTGGGACAGTCAGTCTAGCTGAGGACCAATCACGAGTCATTGGGACCACTGAGCAGCCAGTGCATCAGTCCTGACCCAGCTGGTGGTAGATGGCAACCATGGAGGCTGACTCTTCCCTCCAGACTGATACCTGCCTCACCAGCAAAGACTCTTTTGGGTGCCTTTACACGAAAGAGAAGTATGCTAATGCCTAATATATCATTAAATCTTAGCTAGCGTCTGTGTGTGTTAACTGTATAAAGCAGTTATTTATTGGCTAAGTTGTCTGCGTTTTGCTTGCAGAGTCCCTTTGCACTAGAGTAAAAATGCCCAGATAAAGGGATCCACGAAAGGGGCCATAACATCACTGGATATTAGTTCTGAGATTTGTTACGTCTTATTTTTAACTATAAAAAGATCTTCACATGCTTTCTATTGGATTGTTAGCACTCTCTTTTTTGCTGCTTAGAGGTGAATTTGAATTCATGTGCCTGATGTGAGCTATGTGGCACGAAGGCAAATATTTTATCAGTCCATAGACAGCTCTGCTCATTCAGCATGAACGTGTCCTGCAGCAATTGGGGTTGTTTCAGTGTTGGGGCCTTCCATGTATGATGGAGTACATAGCTTAGTATTGATCTGCTATACAGCTGCTATTCCAGCCTTAGGATTTTGTCAATATTCATCAATACTGAACTATAACACCCTATGTTTTACCAAAGTGGTTTATTCATAGTGTTCAGCTTTCCATCTATTCTAAACATTTTCACCCCCTTTTCTCTCTGTTGCCCTACTGATGCTCTTTAATTCTTACTCTGGATACCTTTTCAGATTTGAAAGTATAGCATAGTTTCGTCCTCTGATTGCCCCACTCTTATTCCAGGCATTAGTGTAACTCTGCAGATGCAACTCAGGCCTGCTCTGAGAACTGTCCTTTATACTTGCACTGACATTTTTGGAGTTTCAGTCTATAACCTCCCACAGCCAGTGTGAGCCCTGTGCATGCTAATGGAGCACATGGGTATTAAATCGAAAAGGAATTAACCATTGAGGGAACTGATCAAACAATGATACTCTTTCATGGAAAAGAACTGAAGAAAAAGACTAAAGGAGAATTACTTTAATGAGGGATGTTTTTCAGTGTTTTATCTTGTAGATGTGGGCTGCTGCAGAGAGATCAGAGCCAACAGTGCAGATGAATCCTGAAACTCCTAAGTGCAGAGCATTAATCCCATCTTAAGGAAAAAAACCTCATCACACTTACAAACAATAAACTGTTTAAATACAAGTCCTGTCTTTGATTTTTGCCCCTTAGTCACAGAAGAGACAGTGTGAGTTCTCTCTGCAGGCGGCAAGAGGGGAGAGAGCCTTCCATTTTTCGATATCCTAAATGTTAAAGATACTATCGGAGATGTGACCCCCTCAAAAGAAGATGGGTTTATGAAACAGTTAAAATCTCCTTTCTTACCTCCTTTTCAATTTTAGTGATCTCCACCTTGGGGAGAAACCAGGAGACAGATACCTCTTCAAACAATCTAACGCATGGATTAAATGTGCTTTTCATTGCTAGTGGCTGGATTTAGAAGTGACTCAAATACTGTACAGAGCATTGGCTGTGTCGATAAATCAGCAATGCAGTAATACTGTGGCCTTAAGCTTTTCCCCCACCAACTACTAAAGCAACACTAGCCAATAATCCTGTCTTTGAACTCCATCCTACCACTTTTCATCACCTGAACTTCAAACCAGTTCTGTTTTTCTGATCCTGTTCTTCCCTCCACCTGTAACTCGAGAATCCTCACACTGCATGGATCAGTGCTGGGGCCTCATGAAAACTCTCCTGCCAGGGCCCATTCTTTCCCCCTCTGCACGTATGTGACTTCGAGCACCACCTCATGACAGAGACAGACAGGAATTTTTTCATTGTTGTCATAGCTTACATGCCTCCAGCGTCTTTTATCCCAAAGGACAGCAGTGCAGTTTGCAGACAGAGCCAGATTTCACTTTTAACTGCCTGGTTCAACTCCTTTTAGCTTTTGAGTAACCAATGACAACTTTAGACTGTGCATCATGCTCTGCATGAGAATAACCTTTGTATAGAGTTTACCATGAAGTCTCTGCAATGTTCAAGGGAGGATTTTTCAGCTGAGTGTGAATTTACTAGTACCCTCCATTTTGTGCTGTCTTTCTGCATGGAGGGGAATTTTCTCTGTGGTTCCCCATTGTAATGAGGCAGATCCAATGGGCATAAGGCTGCTGCAATTCTGTGGGACTGATGCAGAAGAAGATTCATAAAAGGAGAAGTGAAAAGCAGAATGGCTTTGAGAGCACTAAATAGGTGTATAAGTTTGGCAGAATGCCATTCCCTGAGCAAGAACATCAGCATCTCTCTTCTGATGAAAAGAGCTGAGGCCTAAATCATGTCAGCAAGCAACACAGTTTGACAGCAGCATCCCAAAGAGTTTAACACCATTACCCTACACCAATTTGGGTCAAAATTCAGCAATAACAATGTCAGGGAAGGTCACCACCTATGAAGAATTTACTACTCAGGGACTGCTCAGGCTCAGCCCTGCTCAATCTCATAAATTATCATCACAGAAGGAGGGCATAGCTGCAACAACATGCCTACTTAAAAAGCCATGAGAACAAAAGTTTTTATGCCTGCAGCATGCACATCTCCAGCCTGCAGCTCCATCCAGTGAGGTTTTTCATCAAGATATACAGCACAAGCTACTATGTCTTTGTTTGGCTCTGTGAGAACAGCCTGTTGGAGTGACGAGTAACCAGGGACTGAATTCAACTCTGAACATCTGTACAGAAACTCCAGATGACATATCAGCAGAAACAATGAAGAAGGGATTCACTATCTGGAAAAGCTGTGAGAGATAAAAGCTTTGTTTTCACCAGCTAAGCCACATACAAGTGGCATGGGAATATTCCGTTCCAAAAACACAAACCTCTTACTACGGAGTCAACAGTGCAGCTCCACTGACTGTCAATGATAAGATGGTAAAATTTATGAGGGACAAGAAGTCACTAAACTGCTCAGCACTGTTGCTTTTAAGTTTTGGCTATCCTGCTATCCAGAGCAATGCACAGTACTTGGGCTAAGCCTCTGCATGCAGACAAAATAAAGTTCTTAGGAACTGGATGCACAGAACAAACAACTTTCAGGACTTTCTAACCAACAGCAGTTGGTAAGAAACGACCCAGACTAGGATGGTGCTTAATCTCTCTGAAGAACCTGGGTCTGCTGTGCTACTTTCAATCATGACAGAGAAGAGCTGTGCAGCACCATGGGAAGCCTGTGCAACATCAGCCCCAAAAAGAGTAGCCTGATACTGCGCAGTATTGTGAGAATATAAAATCATGAATCTTTGCTGTGCTGGAAGGGTCGGTGTGG